GACTGTTAAGTCATAAAGCTTCCCAGAAGAAGGTGGTGGCAAATCCCTTCCATATTCTTGCTACGAGAACTACAGAGATGCCTGAATGAATTCACTACGATGAGATTTTATGAATCATTCATGTTCTTGCGAGAACAAGTACAGATGCATGAATGAACTCACTAGGAGACTTTATTAATTGTAAAATAGCATTCCCTGGTTTTAATAGGATGCAATTTCCTGATCTAATAAGAGAAGCACATGAACATACACAAAGTTTATCACTCCAAATGAACTGGGTGTCTCCCACCCCTTTTAGGTTTTCTTCCCTTTTGCTTCAGGACTACTACAGCTTCATTGATTGTAGAAAACAAAAGAAAAAAGTTTAAAGAATAGTTTATGTGACATGGCACAAGGAAAAAAGTGGACTACTCTGTGGCTAGTATCTCCGGAGTTTCTTCAAAGGAAAGAATACAAGCGCAACTGCAATATAACAAAAGGCCACTGAAAGAAAACTGAAAGCATTCTTACTTTAAAAACTTTCCTATTAAAATCCAAAGAGCTGAGATCAGGGAATATTATCAACCAAAGACAAGCATCCAAATGAAATACTTTATGCATCATTATTAATCTTCTGGAGTTTCCAGCTAATATGTGAATTGAACTCATACAATTGTTGAAAAATGTTTGTCCTTTTGGCAAACTACTTTGAGGCTCTCGGAGTTTTACCAATATTAATATTCAGGGGATTTACAGCGTAACTCTATCCACCCTGTTTCTTACGGAAATGCTGCAGTGTAAATGCAGCCTATGGGCTTCAGAGAAGCACACAAAGGATGGCAGTCAAAGGACCTAAGCCCAGAGAATTATCTAGGAGTCCTTCTAAAGTCTTTCCACCCTTCTCATGTGTTTTAGGAATGCATTCTTAACCAAGGACTTTGCATTCACATCGCTTTCGATGGATCTCATGCACTCTTTCTCGAAACAAATCAATTTCAGCATATGCAGGAACACCTTCTAAAATGTTTGGAATCCAATTTAGTACAAATTTACATTTAATTTTAATAAATACTCCAGGACACGTCACTGTGGGCTAGATCATACTTTTGACGGGCGTTGGCCTAGTAAGAGGAGGACTTTCAAGATCTCCTTCCTTCCATAGCTGTGCTAAGGGCCTTTGCTCAAGAAGTGCTGCTCCTAAGAGAATTTAAGTAGAAAATTCAGTGATAATTGGACATAAGTGCCCCCAAAGGATGGCATTTCCTCTCTTCTTCCATTGAGCTCACACATCTACTTCATGTTAGGGTTAAGTGACAAAACTAACCCAGAAAAAGGTAATGGGAAATGTAATTTTCCTACTGAGTGCCTAAAATGCAAAGGCTGGAGAACAGGGATGGAAATTAAGTTTCCTACACAATAAGATGCATCCTTGTGTAGGCCACAGAGGAGGATAATAAACAGCAACACATTAAAAAATGGTTTGATTTGTTTCTCAAGGCAAACAGATTTTCCTTTAGTCAGATTTACTATATGATGAAAAATATTTAGGTCTGAAAATAAGGTATGTTTGCCTCCATGGAAAATGTGTCTATTAAATAATTAAGGTTTGCTAGTTTATATAGAATATGAATACACACACAAACACACATAAATATAAAGCATATTTCTTGCTCTGGCACTGATCTGGTTTAAACCTAGAAAAGTAGGATTTTTATTTAAATAAACATAACTACTATTTATTAGGCACTCAGGGCAATTAATAAGCTAATATGGGATTTAAAAAGATAAATAAAATAGTAATATATATGTTTTTAATATATTAAATGTATCCCTTTAGAACAGGAAAAAAGCTAGCAAAGTAACATTAAAAGTAAAGTCAAATCACATTTACCATGCAATCCTACCAAAGATTGGGGGGGGGGCGTTACTAAAAAAAGTGACATTGACTTAAGTCTGAACACTTATTCTAGCAGTAAATCTCATGGATAGAATGGGATTAAGAGTTTTTTTCTCGGGACTACACCACAGACGTCTGATCCTATGCCTGTGAAATTTAAATTAGATCTAAATTTGCAGAGCAGAATTCATTCCTAAATAAAACGACATAGGATTGCACCATGCATATACTTCTTTACAGAAAAGGCTGGTCTGACATAGTTATTAAGAGTATACCTAAGAAAATAGAACAAGGCCCAAATGAACACAAGAAATTCTTAATGCATTCACTAGCAAATGGATCAGGTCTCACAGAATACACTTGGATTTCCAGTTTGCTGGAATGTACAGTCAGAGTTGCAGGTAATGAAGTAACACTGCCTAAAATCTATTCGAATTTTTGTGTATGAAAATTTTTACAATAGAAATACCAATAGTTCTGTTTCTTTGTAGAAATCATTTTGAAAAATATAGCAGCACTGCAAAATACCAAAACTGAAGCCTTTTGAAAAATAATGAATGGTATTAAAATTGTTCATATTTGTTTGGCTTTTATACCTTTGATATATTTCTATTAGTGAAATGTTAAATTCCAAACTATGGATTTAAATTTAGCACCATGGTCCTAAATGAACAATCACTTATAAATGTAAAATGTTTACGGAGTTCAATGGCATTTTCTCCCAAACGCATATATTTAGAACTACATGAATGATTTGTTCATTCAGAAGATATAGACATATATAATGAAAGCAGAATTGCCTCTTCATCTTGATCTTAACTGACATCTTGGTTGACATCTTTGGACCATAGAAGGTAAAATATTCCGCACCTCCCAGCTGGCTTTCAAAGTTTTTGTGCACTAATTAACTGTATTTATATTTATTTATATTTGTATTCCTAGTTAATACTAATGCCTCTTTAAACCTGAGTTGAACTACCGGTAGGCCCTCTTTTAATAATAGTTTTAATTAATGTTTACCAATATGTATGATCACGGCAAATAAATAGTTATGTTTTAGATGGAGAGAGAGTTTATTTTATTAATGAAATGGGGTGTAGGCTGCAAATGGAATATATTAGGCAGATAGATCGTGGTTGTTATATAGCCTGAACGAAAGTGTACAAAGCTGTGCTTTTCATTCTCTGTAAAGAAATTTTAAAATGGAAAGTTGTCAGACCGTTTTAAAATCCATCACCAGAAAGATTTACACACTGGTGAACCCTATAATGTGGTTTAATTCTTATGGGGATATAGGACATTTATACCATAAGGCTCACATTATTTATAGAAAGAATCATTAATGTATTTATTTATATCTTCCCCCCAGGTATTAACATTTGGATAAACTTTTAAAAGCCAGAGTCTTACACACAATTACTTAGAAATAATTTCTACTAAAGTCACTAGATTTATTACTGAGTATGTGTACACTGAAATTATACAGCCGTTATTTTTTCTTCTTTACCAAGAATTCTGCTTATAAAGCTTTTTTTATTTAAAGGGTTTCCACAGTGTGACATGTATGTAAAATCAAATACCTTCTATTATTCAGAATACAATATATTTAGTGTTTTCCCTCAGAACTGTGTCATTTTTATAAACCAAACAATCACAGCTGTTAGGAATACTGACCTTATATTTTCAAAAGCTGCCCCATTGCTTGATAAATAACTTTTTAAAAAGCATTCCTACAAACAATATGACAATCACTAATACTTATACTATTTCCAGTTATGATGATCTTTTTTTTCTTAGAAAAAAACTGCATTTCCTTTCTAAGGTAAAGAACATAAAGGGTGGAAAAGAGAAAATAAATATTGGCACTCTTTGACTTAAGGCCCCCGAACCAGACACGGTTACAATGACTTGCAAATTTGGGAGTCATAAAAATACATTTCATGTGAACATGGGAAAAGGAAAGGATGGAAAACTTCAATTCAAGCACAAAGTAGTAATTCGCCAATATTATTAGGTTGCATTTGATATTATTTCCCACAGATCTAAATTTTAAAACCAATACTGGACTCCGTACTTATTCATCTGTTTAATATATTTTTTTTAAATGTCAGTAACATTCTGCACGTTTGAAATAGCTATGAAGGCCTATCACAATTTAACAACCCAGAGAAAAATTAATTTCTGGTAGGAACCCGGGACTGTTCGCCAGCAAAAGTTAAGCACGTGCTTCCACTATAAGGGATGCGACCTTCCAGGGCTCCATTTGGACTGGATCGAGGGATCGACACCTTTCGTAGGGGAAAATTTCAAATCGCAGTGGGTGGGTGTTCACGGGTGAGGCAGGGCGACGTGTGGAAGGACAACCGCCTTCCTTTAAAGCTTATATCCCGAGACGGCAGGTCTTATTTCATCGACCCCAGACCCTTGTTTTGACCCTTCCTCGCACCCTGACAATAGAAACCCCTTTTCGGCGGCTGCCTCGCCCGCGTCCGTCCTCCTCTCCCATCATGGTAAGCGCCCAACCGCACCGCAAAGTTAAGAGCCGAGAACTGGGACTTTGTAGGCCAGTTGAATGCAGAAACTTCTCATCTCGCCCGCAAAGACCCAGCCCCAAACTCCCAGCTGCTCGTCCGGAGAAAACCTGGCCGAGGCTTCCAAAGAAACCGTTGCTTCTTTACAATGATCGGGGGGAAGAGGTTGAAGAGGGGGAGACGCACCCGTACAATCGGGGATCCAGCGATCCTTTTCAGCAGCTCCTTTTTAATGCCGCCGTTCCATTTTTAGACCCCGTTTTGGGGTTTTAGAAGCCCCAAGCGCACCTTATAAACTGCCCACTAGCTTCTTGCCCTTTGGGCGGGGAAGGAGAGAAAAAAGGAAAGAATTATGCTGACTCGGGTGGATCTCCCAACGGGGGAAGGGAGGGGAGGATCTGCAGGAACGTGTTGGAAAAGCAGCTTTGGGTCTACCCGAGGGAACCTACGCATGCCACCCGACCGCTTGACAAAACAGAACTCGCCCTGCCCATCGCACGACCATCGAACGGCTCCCCGGGAAAAGATGTCCGCGTGGAGAGCTCGATCAAACCCACCCGAGATTAATTCCCCCACCTCCACCCCGCAAAAAAAAAAAACAACCCGGGGATTTAAAGGATCCCCGATTCACGCCAGCCCGTGAGCCCGCTGAAACTGACAAGAGCCTGGGCAAAGGAGCTCCGAGCACACGCCTGCGTAGTCGGCCGGTGGCTCTTTTTCCCCTCCCTGCTTACCTTCTGTCAAACGAGGGGGACAGCCAGCAGCCCTGGCGCGTTCCTGTGGATTTAACTTGTTCATCCTGGCCAGGTCTTCTTGAGTTACACCGGACGGCACAAAAACGAGGAGGTATGGCAGACACTGGGGGGGGGGGGCAGGGCGGAAGGAGGCTCCCGCCCCTTGGGGAAAACTAGAGCTAGCTTCATGGAAAAGGCTCGCCGGCCACATTTTTTGAAAAAAGGGAGCGGCGGCGATAGGGGGGCGACCGGCCAGACCCCCGGAAAGTCAGCCACGAAGGGGGCGGAATTCCAATCGCAGGGAAAAGGCAGAGAGAGAGAGAGAGAGAGAAGCACACGCGCATACAACGCCCTGGCCGAAAAGGAGCGCCCTGGATCCGCGTGGAGCTGCGATTCCACACCCGCAAAAGCCACGGCAGGAGTTCCACGCCGCTGTCACCGAGCGCGCGTGTCGTCTTAAGTTGGCAGCAAGTATCCCTCGAAAGTTTTCGCCGCGCAAAAAAGAAAAAGGAAAAAAAAAGAGCAGCCCCCACGTGTTAGGCTATAGATCCAGAAGCGCTGGGCTGGGCTGGGCTGGGCGAGAGGAGTAGCGGCGGCGGCGGCGGCGACACCACGAGCACCAGCAGCAGCAGCCGCCGCCCAGGAAGGAGAAGCGCGCCCCTAGCCGGTTCCCTCCGCTCTTCTCCTTCTCCGGGCTGTTTAAGGAAGCACCCTCGTCCCCACCCACTAAAGTTAGACCGCTCCGATGGTGCAATTTTTCGCTTGGCAGATTTACAGGGTTGAACGCCACCATCCAAAATAATGGCCCGCCTTCCCACCCACCCCCAAATATATATATTTATATATTTATATACATATCCCAGCTAGGAAAGGAAAAGGCTGGAGCCGCTCGCAAGCCTCCGCTTTGGCATTTCGGCCCGATCTTGACATGGCCGTTGGCTTTCCCGATGGTCTCTCTCTCTCTCTCTCTCTCTCCCCACCCCGCGTCCCGCCGCCCATATGCCGCCCCTCTCCCGCCGCTACCAGCTGAGCATTCAGAACAGGGCTCTGTTTTCTTTCTTCCTACCTTGCAGGCGCAAGCGAGGAGGAAGACGGCCCCCTAGTGGTTGTAGCCGGTTGTCCATAAAGAGCCAGACGATTAAATGTCTCACTGCGCCCCCCCCCCCCCTTCGATCTCCTGTCCGCGGCAAAACCCAAGCTACGCGGCGGGCGCCGTTTATGCTCAGTGCTGTAAAGGGAAGCCAAGCGTGGCGACGACCGTGCAAGTTTACCGTCGGGTCTCCCCTCCTGGCGCGATCATCTTGGGCGATTGCCCCGATGGTGCCCGTCGTCGTTCCTGCCTTCTCCGCGCCTTGCAAGGGAGCCTCGCGGTTGCCTTCTGCTGAGTCAGAGCCGCGCTGCTTCGAACTCGGGGGACCGTGACAGGTAGCGAATTTCCGGCAGCTTCGCGGCTTTTCCAAGGAGAGGCCCGAGCCAAGAATGACTTGGAATTGGAGGCAAACCCCAAAGACGCGTCGGCCGGAGCTCCCGGGAGTTCGCTCGCTCGTTTCCTTGTCGGCACACGCAAAACGCAGGGCATGAGCAATCGTCCCCCACCCCAGCTAAATTAGCTAGACAACATTTCCCATAATCCACCCTGTGAGGCCCAGACAAGTCATGCCGCCGGCTCGTTGGCCTTCAGCTTCTTTAGGGCCAGCCTTACCTTTTGGGTGCCTTGGATTAGATCCCCTAGTCGGCTGGGAGTTGTAGTACAACATACCCAGTTTGGCAAATACAACTTTGCTTAGGAGGCCAATTTGTTAAATATGTGTCAAGGTAAAGGTTCCCCTTGCACATGTGCTAGTCGTTCCCAACTCTAGGGGGCGATGCTCATCTCTGTTTCAAAGCCGAAGACGTCTCTGTGGTCATGTGGCCGGCATGACTAAACGCACTTCCTACCAAAGGTGGTCTCTATTTTTCTACTTGCATTATTTACATGCTTTCAAACTGATAGGTTGGCAGAAGCTGGGACAAGTAACAGGAGCTCACTTCGTTAGGCAGCACTAGGGATTCGAACCGCTGAACTGCCGACCTTTGTGATCAACAAGCTCAGCATCTTTAGCCAGATAAAATGATATAGTGGTTCAGCTGTTGGAATAAAATGGGGAAAGGCAAGGTTAGGTTCACAGTCAGCTATGGAGGCTCACTTTGCCCTTTCTCACAGGGTGATTGTTGTGGGAAGTATGGAACTGAGAGAGTGCTTTAAATACTGATATAAACAGCTGGAAGGCTATAAGTATGAATAGTAAGAGCAATAACAATAATAGTAAGAAGAACAGTGAATTTTGTTGCAGTTGATTTTCACCTGGAAAATTGGTGGTTCTTCAGAAGTCACTGAATTCCCATTCCCAAGGGCCCTGCGGGGATGGTTGTTGATAATTTCTACAATATGGTACAGATAGTCCTTGACTTATGACCACAGTTGTGAGGAGAATTTCTGTTGCTAACAAGGCAGCTGTTAAGTGAGTGGTGCCTCAGTTTATAAAAGTTTTTTTAATCGTAATTGTTAAGCTAATCACTTTGAACTGCTCAAGGTTGACTCAGCCTTCCATCCTTGAGGTGGGTAAAATGAGGACCCAGATTGTTGGGGGCAATAGGCTGACTCTATAAACCCCTTAGAGAGGGCTGTTAAAGCACTATGAAGCAATATATAAGTCTAAGTGCTATTAAACTTCCCCCACTGACTTTGCTTGTGGGAAGCCAACCAGGAAGATATCAAATGTTGTTCACATGACTTCAGGATGCTGTAACCGGCATAAATACATGCCAGTTGTCAAATGCCTGAATTTTGATCATGTAACCTTGGGAAGGATGCAATAGTCATAAGTGCAAAAACTAGTCATTTTTTCAGTGCTATTGTAACTTGGAACAATTGCTAAACAAATGGTTGTAAGTGAAGGACTACCTCTATGTGAAGGCCCATGCGTCTGTCCCAGAGGTGGGTTCTGTACTGGTTAGTACCGGTTCGCTGCGCATGCACTTTGCTTGTGTATGCCCATTTGACTAAAAATTGCTCTGTGCATGCGCAGAACCATACCAGCAACAGCAGAAGACACCAGAGAATTGGTTCGGGGGCGTGTTAGGCCTGGGCCGCTGCCGGTTGTGCAACCCAGGACTGAATTCTACTACCAGTTCGGCCGAATCGGGCCGAACCAGCAGCAACCTACCTCTGGTCTTTCCTTTATGCTCATGTAATCAGAATTATTGGTTATAGTACATTCAAACTAACTCTGTAATGTAACCAGCACAAGACATCTAAAGTAAATTAACTGTAACCAGGTAAAGGCATCTAAATATCTATACATGTTCTCGAGAATCATTTGTTAGTTATGCAACTAGATCTTCTTCTACTTTGCTGCATTGTTTTTTTCTCTTCATCTTTTTTAGCAAATAACATTTTGACCATTTTATTGTTAGCCTTTTCTCATTGCTGCTGATTGAGTATTTTAACTGTTGAGTTTATTGCACATTGTCATACATTTTTCAACCATCCCCCTTACTTGGGACATATCTCCACGTAAACTTTAAATTATATCTAAACATAAAATCAGTTGCTGCTTGAACCAGTCAAGTAATGCCAGTGCTCATGAATATGCATGCCCCGATTGCAGTGAGGTTGCCTAACCTAACAAAAAGGGGTAGGGATGTTGCACATGTTTGTTCACTTTAATTTATACACTCCTTTCCATCTCAGAGGTTTCACATGGATAACCAGAGCAGCACTTGTACCAAATAGATATTTCAGAAGAGCAATCCTTTATGTAAGAATCCAGTATCAAATTTGATTCAATTCTTTGACTATAACTTCTTCTCCCATATAAGAATGTCTATGGAATGAGAGCTTTTGGGGTCTAGTGCAGTGGTTCCCAAACTTGGCAACTTTAAGACTTGTGGACTTCAACTCCCAGAATTCTCCAGCCAGTCCACAAGTCTTAAAGTTGCCAAGTTTGGGAATCACTGGTCTAGTGGTTAAGACGGTAGTCTAGAAACCAGGAGACTCTTCCACTTCAGGTATGAAAGCTGGCTAGATGACTTTAGGCCAGTCACTCTCTCCTAGCCCATGACTTCA